GTTATTGCTGTGTTGCCTACATCATAGGTTCTCAACCGTTTACATTGTTGATACTCATTTGTATGATGCCCTCCCGTGGGTAGTACCCAGGATTATTTGCCATTGCCATTGTACTAGTTAGTAGTAGTTCTGCCCCTTACTCTCCCACTCAGAAGCATATTGGCAAGAAAGTGATGGTGTGAGGAAGGGTAAACTTGACCTAATTTTAATGGACAGAAGCTAAATTGTAAACCTTTTACAGCTAGTGGTGGTCATTCACTCGGACTTGCTATCTTTACTGTTCTTTTCCCGGTTCTATGCTATATACAGACAGCTCTTGCTCTTCTTACCGTTTTATAAAACAGTGCTTTCCTTCTGTTCATTTGCTCCATCTTTGCCAGAATACCCTCTATAACGCCTTCAGCTCTAGTTTGGTCTTCTTACTTTCCCTGACACAAGCCATTGCTGATTCCCATCTTTATGGCCCGAGGGTTTCCTGAGGGTTTCATTACTCTGATTTGTAACTTATTTATTTATTTATTTTGCGCTCACGGGCCCAGCTGCTCCGCAGCATGTGGGATCTTCCCGGACCGGGGCACGAACCCGTGTCCCCTGCATCGGCAGGCGGACTCTCAACCACTGTGCCACCAGGGAAGCCCTGTAACTTATTTTAATTTTGATATCCATGTTGTTTTTGAACTTAAGAAGATTGGCTCTATTTCTTTATTCCCCTTAAAAACAGGACCATTGACATTTGTGGTATTTAATATGTAAAGTATGCTGAAGGAATGATACGCTTAATATTTAGGTGGCACAAATTTGAATTTGGCTTGGGAGAAATGGCATGCTTAGCCACCACATTCTTATCAGTTCCCATTGTACTAAGTACATTTCTTTGCAACAGGTCATTCTCCTTTATTCTCTAGTGAGCATTTCCCTATAATGATGAAAACTTGTATCTGTAAAAATTGCTATGCAGTAGCAGTTGTCGTTTGTCACTGATATAATTTTGCATTTTCTGGTAAGGTATAATGTGACATAAGTAGTGATGTAGTATTAAATAGTCTTATATCTTGGCAGATTTCACTAATGTTTTTCTGGTGACGTTAGTTTGCTATAGTGTGGATCTTGGGGGCAACAAAGCATGGTTGAATATATCTGACTTCTACCAGTATGGTCCTGTTGTATGGCACATTCATGTTTGTTTGTATTGGAATAGATAACTAAAAGGTTTCAGCATATAAGCTTTTTCTTTCTTTCAACAGAATTTGTGAGTTTTCTTCCCTTCTCCCCCAAATAAAAATACGGTTACGATGGTATTAACTACAGGTAGGATGGCAAAGTAAGAATGTAATGACAGTCAGTCAAATGTTAATCTATAGAGTTAAGTAAGTCAAACTAAGATTTGTCCAATTGGTTGACTTGTATGCATGTTCATTCTTTTAAGACCTAGAAAAGGTGCAGTTTTTGTAGTATTGGAATTTCATTTGAATTGCTTAATGAGTTGGACATCATTAGAGAAGTTAGAAATGTTTTAGTGGAGGTTAACTTCCATCTCGCAAACAAATTCCAGGATCTACGAGTTTTTTTAAATTAGCGGTATTACCAGGGAACCCAGTGGTGAGTTGAATGTTTCTCATCTAAGTGATTAAATACAAATGCTTTTCTGAGACAGACCTACTTCTCTTGTTGATCCAAGACTCATGAATTGTCAACTCATAATTATTTTTGCCCCTTAAAACAACATACATTAAACACCATTGCCCAGAATTTCAAAGGAATACTTGGACCACATTCAACCAAGGGAAACGTGATGAAAATCCTACTCAAAACACGTTACCTTTAAAATGTGATTCTGGGAAATTGACAGTTGAGGACAGTGTATAGGTAGGCAGTAGTATTCTTAGAACAAGCAAATTCTTAAGTCAGTAATTTGATGAGTATTTTACTACGGTGTTTAGAAGATGTTTGGAAATGACATCAAATGGATCATAACACTTTGTTAACAGTAATGACTTTTCCCTTCAGTTTACCATTTGATAGTTTCCATCTGATAAGAGAGGATTATCATCAGACTTAAATTTAATTGGGTCATAGGGATAAGACTTGAAGAATAATCTTATGAATATTTCTAAAAAATAAACTATAATGTGTGCTGCTTTACTTTAAAGGGGTGATACAACCTAGCACAGACTATGCAGACTTTTGGTGTTTGAATTTTTAAAATTCATTTTATGACTCTGGGCAGGTATTACATCTCTGTGACTCTTATTTCCACATCTGCAAAATGGAAATAATAATAGCATCTACCTCTAGGATATTTTATATAGAGTTAATACATCCCCGTGGTAATAGTAGATAGCAAATATACTGCTTACCTTCTTTTGTGCTTCTTTGATATCACTTCATTGTGGCTTGATTTATTAATTTTGGATTAAATTTAAGAGAATTTTAATAAACTGCTTAAACTTTAAATTGAATATTTATTGATTACTTGCTACTTTATAAGCCCTGTGCATAAAGAAAAACATAATAAATATAAAAAGCCTCTGCTCATAAAAAGAATCTCAACAGCCTAGAGGGGAAAGTACTGTGTGTTGGTCAAATTCAGAAGAGCTGGTCTTCAACCTTCTTTTTTAAAAGTGGCTGATAATCTGGTCCCACTAAGGAATTATACACAACACACAATGTGCATGTGCAAGTTTTAAAAAACACTATAAAAAATGAGGTTTTTAAAACAAAAAGTGCTTTGTGATGGAAATATTGGGAAATGGGGCCTTGATTGGTGAGAAACTTCAACCCAAGTAGGTCAACATTAATGCTAGCTCTGAGAAAGGCTCTGGGGAAGGGGACCCTAGTGTCAGACAGTTTTAGCAGTTATCACTCAATGCTCAATAATTTCTTTTTGGTACTTTTCACCATCTTTTAATCTTTAGGAGGTACATTTCGAATATGACTAAAATACTAATTTAAAAAAAAAAACATTTTAGAACACACCAGGCTTTCTATTAGCATTGAGTTTTTATGTGGTTGTCTTTTGTTTCGTTTTTGGTAAGAATCAGGGAGCCAAACTACTCTGGCTTTTTAACAGGAATTAAAATGAAATTTTAGGCTGGTTTCAACATTCCTTAAACACCATAGAATAATATATCTTGGCTTTATCAAATTCCTTGTTGCTATTTTAAAAGTTAGATGGTGCAGATTTGCCATCTATTTCTTATTAGTGGAAAATGCATTCAGTTAAGTGACTGGTCAGAGTCCTCTATGGTTCCATCCTTGAAGTTAAGAAGCTCTGTCCCTTCATATCTATATGACTTTATCATTTATAGAATACCTAAAATTTTACTGTGTGCCAACATTACACAGAAAGTCTTCAAATACGTACCAAATTAGTTCTTGACACCATCTAATTCATTAGCAGTTTTGGTGGAGCAACTGGTGGAGTTGCAATTGAAAGAAAGGAAAGCAATGCAGCCACAAGAGGGAGTAAGAGAATAATTTCTAAATTGATGGGCCTTCGTTGCAATGAAAATAGCTGCTTGCCTTTTAGAATTTTGAGACTTTAGGAATGATAAAAGTCTCAGGGGCTCTACAGAATAAAGTGAAAGTTCTGGGAAAATTCTCTGTGCACAAGGGAATTGTGCAGGACCAGAATTGTGAACTTCTCCGTTGTGCTATAGAATTTGAATTAAACTTCATATTGGGGATATTATTTAAAATGACATTTGTGGGGCTTTTGAGTTTTTTAATTGAATAATAAATTGGGAGGTGAATTTTATAGAATCATTAGATTTGGGGCTTGAAGGAGCATCTACCCTAGCTTTTTCATTTTCACAGATCAAGAAGCTGAAGCAAAATAAGACTTTGTCCAGTTGCATGACCTGTATGCTTGTTTGTTAATCTAGGAGAGATCCTGTTGCATTTAATTTACGAGGAGTGCCCAATTTTTGTTGCATTGGAATTTCATGTATTTGAATTGTTTAATGAGTTGGACATTAGAGAATTTAGAAGTGTTTTTTAGAGAAGGTTAAATCCCATCTTATAACTGGAAAAATTACCACTTTGTTTAAGTGATGGCTTTAGTTTTAGACTATATTTTAGGGTTCTGTACTTAAAATGAAAATAGCAAGAATCACACTTGAGGGCCTTGTGCCTCAAGTTCTTGGCACCTTTTCCCTTTTAGCCATCGGCATTTTTTGTGCCTGATTGGTATGAAAGCGCACTATCTATATCCTGGCCTCTTTTCCTTTGTGTTCAGGGAAGAGGGCCATGATAGTACAGTCTAAAACAGCAATGGGTTGTAGAGGCTTGGTCTTCCCTGTGCACACATCTGGTGAAATCAAGTCAAAGGAGACACTTGCCCAGCTATGTTTTCAAATTGCAGTCCGTAAATGTCTCATTAGAGGTTGATTCTTTTGCTTTATTATTCTGGGACTATTTACTGTTTGCTTAGTGACTTTTTAATGTATATTAATTAATGGAAATTGAATTTAACAGTATAACCAATTGTTGGAATACTCTCCAAGACAAAGTGGGAACCTCCTCTCCACCCCTCATTTTAATTTGCAAACACATCACTTATTTTTGTGACATTTTTTTCTCCTAAATACAAGTTGTACCAGGCCAATAAGGAAATTTGAAAAACATAGATGAGCACATAAAGGGTATAAGAGTGGAGAACAGAACTCACTGATAATGTCGTCTTCCAGAAATAGTCATTTTTTTTTAATCACTTTAAAAAAAATATTTATTTATTTTTGGCTGCACTGCATCTTCGTTGTTGACGGGCTTTGTCTAGTTACGGCGAGCGGGGGCTACTCTTTGTTGTGGTGCACATGGTGCACGGGCTTCTTATTGCGGTGGCTTCTCTTGTTGTGGAGGACGGACTCTAGGCGTGCAGGCTCAGTAGTTGTGGCTCAGTAGGCTCTAGAGCGCAGGCTCAGTAGTTACAGGGCTTAGTTGCTCTGCCACATGTGGGGATCTTCCCGGACCAGGGCTTGAACCCATGTCCCCTGCACTGGCAGGCGGGTTCTTAACCACTGCCCCACCAGGGAAGTCCCCTAGAAATAGTCACTATTAAGAAGGTTTTTCTTTAAAACTTACTTTTATATAAGTGTAGTATTAAGTAACCAAAAGTGAAAATAGCCTCTTCTACATATGGTAATTAAACTGCCTTTCTAACCATTTATTTTTTAACTTTTTATTTTGAAATAAGTTCAAATTTTCCCGTATATCCTTTACCTGATTCCCCAAATGTTAACATGTGTAACTACAGTATAATGATCAAAATCAATAAATTAATAAAATAATGGATAAAATAAACTATTATATAACCTATAGCAGTTACAAATTATACCACTATAATTGCCTAATTCTGGTCCAGAATTCAATCCAGGATCACAGTTTGCATTTCATTGTCATGTCTCCTTACTCTTCTTTAATCTGGATCAGTTTTTCAGTCCTTGCCTTTTGCCACTTTTTTCAAGAGTACTGGCCAGTTGTTTTGTAGAATATCCCTCAGTTTGGATTTGTCTGGTGATCCCTCATGAGTAAACTCAGATTGTGCATTTTGGGGAAGAATTCCTGGAAATGATATTGTGCCCTCCTTGGTGCATCATATTAGGAGACACATGTTGTTCTGTTACCAAACCATTATCTTTAGGTAGGACATTATATTTTCTAATTTAAACAGCAGGGAGGACTTCTAAAAACACCCTGTGGTGCAAAAGTATCAATTTTTTTTTTAAGATAGATGCCCCATAAGTATGATTACTTTATCAAAGGTTAGAACTAAGTATAGTTTGCCAAAGTCCTTTTTAAATGGGTTATGCAATTTTATAATGAATGGATTACTCTTTTGAAAGGGGGAAAAATCCCAGCTCTATAACTTGTGATTTTCCTTTGAAATACATTTTCATTACTTGGCTTCATGTATTCTAATTGACAAGCTAAATCACAGCCACTAGCCCAGTGATTTAATTTGCATAGTGGCAGGTGGTCATTCTTTAGGGCTGAAATAAATATATAAATGGTTTACAATGAGTTCTTGTTAATTTTTTAAAGTTTAGTCTAAGGACCCTTACTCTCTACATTGTCTGATTCCCATTTAAGAAAAAAAGGAAAGGACAAGTGAGGAATGGTGGGGGGCGGGACGTGTTCAGTGCGTTAGAGAAGCTTTCCTGGGGTGAAATTTAGAAGGAAGGTTTTGAAATGAATGCTACTGTGAAACACAAGAAAATCGAATGAGGAGGTGTCATGATTTTTGTTTGAAACTCCCATCACTCCTCTTGGTGGCAGAGTTGTAGTACCAAAATCTAGGTGTCCTGACTTGCAAAGAAATTTACTCTACCTTGCTGCTTCGAACTGTCCTCCCACCCTATCTCTGGTGAAGCTTTGTAGTTGTTTGTCTCCCTTAGTTGCCCCCTCCAGAGGCATTACATAGTACCTGGCGCTTATCCAAGGGTCCTGAAAGCATATTAGGGTATGCTTTGGCTGCCCTTTGGCTGCTGTTTCTGAATATATGTGCTTAGTACAGCACCCAAACACCTGTCATTTTTGAGCAATTTCTAGGTCTTTAAAGAATCAGAACATTGTTCCTTTTTGAGCAAAATATTCATTATCTAACCTACAATATCAACCTCAATTTTTACTACATTTTATCTTAACTATATATTTAGAAGTTTGGTAAGATGATGAACTTTTGATAGTCTTGATGTTAGGCTTTTCTCCTTTAAGATTGTTCTAAGTTTCCTCTGCTATATTTAAATGAAGCAGTTCAAATTAGTGTACAAATTCGGCCTGGGGATTTGATGTTTGAGTGCCTAATATGTGCAAAACGTTTGTCTTTAAGGAGCCTATAAGTAGATTAAGAATACGTATGTGAAAAGTCAAAGGTGCAAAATCATAATTATTTTAAATTACACTTGCTCTGGATAACATGTTGCAGAGCATAGGATATAAAGTTCAAAAAACAAAACTCTTCTGATGTCATCCCACTTCCTCAGAGGTAATGTCTAATCTTTTTTGTATCCTCCTGGGAACTTGCAGTGCCCACTCAAACAGTTCTGTCCTTGAAGAATATACACAGGTAGGATCATATACAAACTATTCTGTAAGTTGAACCCACACACTTTGTTGTATATCTTATGCTTCATTCCATACTGGCACTTACCGCATTCTTTTTAACGTCGGTATAGTGTTTGATGAGTGTAGCAATTTATTTAGCTAGTCCATTGTTGATATTGACAGAAATTGGGATATTTCCTTTTGTTTTTCCTTCAGTTGAAAGCTCTTCAGACCTGAGAGGTACAGAAAATGTAGACTAAACTGAATATTTTTGAGAATTGGCTTGAGGGAGAACATAGTGTTAGAGCTGGGTATATTGAAAGGTGAATGGTACAGATTACTTTAAGTCAGTCAACAGTTCTTAGAGTGATCTGTGGACCCCTGGGAGTCCTGCTGGGGGGAGATTCATGAGGTCACACCTATTTTCTGTCTCTTTTACAGATGAGAAACCTGAGGCCCAGAGAAATTTCAGAACTTCATCAAGTTGACATAGCTAGTAAGCAGTGAACTGGGATTTGAACATAGGTAGTAAGCAGTGTAAGCTTGTGCCTTTTACAAGTCTGCTGTAAGAAGAACAAGTACTAACAGAAAATGTTTCCTTTATCTTATGTACTTTGATATAATTTAATCCTGTAGGTTTGTTTTTGTTTTTGTTTTGCTGTAATTACTTCAGTGTATTCCTTCATCAGAACCTTCAGGAGGCACCACAAAACCAGGTGGGAAAGCCCAGAGCTCAGCATGTCCCCGCCCTCTTTAATCTTGTGTTTTTAAATGAAAGTTTTTTGTGCATTATTTCACCGCTCTTATTAGATACACAAATTTTTGATTACGGAACCTGAACTGAAGTACTAAAGTTGAGAGTACAAGTGCACTAAAGCAGATTTTTTGGTTGTCAAGATCCCCATGTCTTATATTTACATCTAACTGAGTAGGAGCTGTGATTGGTGCTTTCCTGTGTATATAAACTATACTCTCATTTAGACCTCGTAGCGGCCTTTTGAAGTAGATTTTCATTTTAATCATTTGTAAATATATTTTTTATTTAAAAAATCATTTTATAAAATTAAATTTATTTCTTTAATAGATGAGAAAAGTAAGACTCTGAGAGATTAACTTGCCTGAGATCTCAAAATTGATGAGAGTGGGATTTAAGGTCTTCCTGATTTTAGTTTATACTGTTTCTGTTACACCAATCTGTTGTTCCAAGAAGTGCTTGGATGCCCAGAGGTTAGGGCCTTGCCACCAGCTCAGGCTGCAGTTTTGGTGTTTTAGATAGTTTGTAGTCTTGATTGTTCCTACAGATTTGATATTTTACTCTTCTTAATTTCCAGCTGTAATCATATTAAAGGACAGTGAGAGAGGTATATCACGAGAATAGAGATGGATTTTCAGTTTACAAACTTTTTATTAGAAATATTTGACCACAGTTAGAATTGAATGTTTATTGAAATTCCTAGTGGGGGCAGGTTGAGCCTAGCTCAAGAAGGGCAGTCAGAACTAGATAACCTGTCAGTTTGTGTGGTTCCTTAATGTTAATCCACTCCAGAGTCAAAGCATTGATGTTATGTAGACCATCTTTGGATCGAGCACGTGCTAGAAACTATTGTTAATATATTCTGCCCTGAGTAAATTGACTGGCTTGGGGGAAAAAATCATTACTTGACCCCATATCTTAAGTGTTCTTACAACCTAAGAGGTTAATTGTACATGGTGCTGTAGAGGAAAAAAAAATCTTTTAACTCTAAAATCTCAAGCTCCACATAATTTATCCATTGATTAGATTAAGGTTCAGTGCCCTCTCCAGAACTATAGCATGTATTTAGCTCTGGATTATAAACCATTTACAGAGACATTTCAGATGTGGGCTTCATGCTTTCAATCCCACATAATGTTAAATGGGGATGGCTACTGTATAAAGTCAGAATATGCATTAACTCTAATTCAGCAGATTAATTTCAGGTATTTTTAAATGGCCATGGTTATCTTTAAAAGACAGTAGCTGTCATCAAAAACATTTTTTTAAACTGCTTGAGGGGAACTACTGTGAATCTCTAAAACAAATTCTATTTCGGCAAGATCCGTATTGACACTATATACAGTACAACTGCTCTTCAGACAAGTAACTACTCCCTCCCTGTTGTGTGATAACATTTTAACGTTCATATTTAGCATATAATGCTGATGTGAAAATTTTTAAAAAATCATATAGGTAGTGATTATAAAAAGATTTAGCTTTTTAATTTTTTCTACAAAATATTCATACCATTTTCCATTTTCACTAGTTCTTTTCAATTTCATATTAATAATTCATAATCAATACCAGTAACTAAGAAAAAATGCTTCCATCAATTGTGTGACAGAAACTGCTATCTGTTTAATAAAACTGAGGCTCCCCTCTAATTCCTGTGCACACAGCTAGACCAAATTTCCCAGTGTCCCTCTTAAATGCAGGCAAGTGACTGTTTTTACCAATGGAATGTACATGCGGGCCGTGGGTACTGACTCCAGGCTACATGCTCCTTCATGTTATTTTTTTCTCTGACTGGCTAAAATGGAGATCAGCTCAATATTAACATTGTAGTCTCAGTTAAGTGCTTGAGTGTAAGATGTTATTAAAGTTTGTGTTTGACCTGAAAATCCTTTTCTGTTATAAATTACATTTAGATTAGAAAGTCAGTGTTATATGGAGAATTTTACAAGTGGAAGGTTCATCAGTAGTCAGCCTAACCATTATTTTATAAGTAGAAATTGTGACACCTCATTTGCTTCTTTCCTTATATTAATGCTATGTCTCCTTTTAAATTTAGATTCTCACAATGTCCCACAGTTGTCATCACCTCCACTTTACTACTACAACATGAATGAACTATAGGAAGTTGTATACTTAGCACAGGGTATTTTCTGAAGTTTTTGTATATTGAAAATAGCTATTAGTTCTTTCCTCTCTTCATTTTCTCTTCTCCAGTTTTTCTTGTCACTGCTGCTTTCTGATAAGTGCTGCTTCCTTTTTTCCCCCTGTTTTTATTTCCATCATGGTCTTCTCCCTACATTTGCCTTTCTCCTCTGGCTTTTAAATCCGGAAAATTGAACTTTTATTTCTCTTTGGTTAGTTTGATAAATTAACATACTTAATCACCTCTGTAGTGTTACAATTAACTTAATTCAGTGAACTCTATATCTTCCATATCTTAGAGTTGAATGAGACCACATCTTATTTGTGAATCTCCTCTAAAAAATAGTGATTTTTCTCATTTCTCCTGAAAATCTCTAAGAAGAGTAGAACTTGCTATCTGACGAGATGGCCTATTCCGAATTTGTTTTGTAAGCTTTCTCATACTGAGCAGAAATCTGCCTCTGCCCAGATTTAACTAGTCTTGTCTTCTGGAGCCATTCGTGTCATATTCTTTCAGTTTTCATGACTGTTTCCAGTTTTCATCAACACTCTTGCTTGCTTTCCTGGATACTCTCCAGTTTGTCAAATCCTGACTTGATACTTTTGGCGGGGGCTGGGGGGGTGGTGAGCCATGCAGCATGTGGGATCTTAGTTCCCTGGCCAAGGAATCGAACCCATGCCCCCCCTGTGGTAGAAGCCTGGAGTCTTTACCACTGGACTGCCAGGGAAGTCCCTATTTTTAAAGGAACAATATACTCTAGGTTTGGTTTCCTCAGCACAGCGTAGAACTGAATCATCATCCTTCATTTTGATTTCTAATTAATATCTTGGAATCATATTCTCCTTCTTAGTAGGCATATCATCTTGCTGAGGCAGAGAAAACGTAGAACAATGTTGTAGAACAGGTCAGATTGCCTAGTTGGAGTTGTACTGTCACAACTTAGCTGTGGTTTTTGAGCTTGGCGCCATTTGTTTTCTTCTATGAGATGGCGATAATTGTAGTTTGTACCTCATAGGTAAGGTTATGGAAGGATCAAATTAATCCATGTAAAGTGATTAAGTATCAAGAATGGCATGTTTATTATTGAAAATGATGTTTTTATTATTTTTCTCAGTTGTCTATTGCTGCATAACAAACCGATCAAAACTAAAACAGTGATTTATTCTGTTTTGTAACTCTGTGGCTTGTCTGGATTCTTTTGGACAGTTTTTCACATGGTGTTGGCTGTGGTCACTCATTGCTGTTTTCAGCTGGGGCTTAAATATCCAAATGGCTTCACTAAACATGTTTCATGACTGGGGCTGACTTGACCTTTCTCTCCAGCAAGATAGATTTTTTTTTTTTTTTTTTGGCTTCCGTGGTGGTGCAGTGGTTGAGAATCTGCCTGCTAATGCAGGGGACATGGGTTTGAGCCCTGATCTGGGAGGATCCCACATGGCGCGGAGCAACTAGGCCCGTGAGCTACAACTACTGAGCCTGCGCGTCTGGAGCCTGTGCTCCGCAATAAGAGAGGCCTGCGCACCGCGATGAAGAGTGGCCCCCACTTGCCACAACTAGAGAAAGCCCTCGCACAGAAACGAAGACCCAACACAGCAAAAATAAAATAAATTAACTTAAGAAAAAAAGAAAGAAAAAAAACCTTAAAAAAATTTTTAAAAAGATAGGTTTTTTTTGTTTTTTTTAATGCTGGCTTAGGGTTCCAAGAGGGCAAAAGGGGAAGTTGCTAGTCCTCTTAAGGATTAGGCCTAGAACTGGAACAGGAGTCATTTTCACTGCATTCTGTTGGTTAAAGCAAGACAACAAAGTTAACTCGGACTCAGGAGAAAGGAAATGAATTCCACCTCTTGACAGGAGGAGTGGCATACATGAACAGGGATGGTAGGGGAACTGGTGGAGGACATTCTGTTCTTTCATAGTTAGCTTTTTGAACCAAATTTAATCTTTAATCCAGTCTATCTTGCTTTTTGTTTTTTAAATTTTAATGGTTCTTACCTTTATGTCATCAGAAGATTTTAAAAGTTTGTCATTTATCCCTTTCTCAACTCTTTTATTTAAAAAATTTCTCATCCCTTTCTCAACTTCTTTTATTTTTAACAGCTTTATTGAGGTATAATTGACATACAAAGAACTGCACGTATTCATTTAATGGGTACAATGTGATGAGTTTGCTTTTTCAACTTCTTGTAGTCAGCATTTTACCAGAAACATTCGCCACTGTTGATCCTTCGTCCTTTTAGTCTATCATTAGGCCAATAAACAGCCTGACTACTGGTATCTTGCCTTCTTGTTACTTGTAGGTTCTGGTTAATAGCTTTAAAGTAGTTTTTGCCATTGTTATTGTTTAAATCAGATGTTATGGCTAAATTCAGTGTTCAGCTTGAGGGAAGAGGTGCTTAATTGCTAATTTAAAAATTCTCAGTGTGGGTTACCCAAATGTAAAACAAGTTTTTAGAGATATAGAAGTTATTACTCATAAAAGATGAGTTACAATTTCTTATGACATTTATTGACACCTTGCCTAAATAACTTCTGCAAGTTTTCGGACGTATACTTTAAAGTTTTACATTTTAAGTGATTTACCCTTAACTAACTGCACATGTTTGTGGCCCTCATCTTTACATATATACAGTGGGTTAGATAAAAGTCATTGAAAAGTGAAGGACATGATGAGGCAGTGTTATTCTGTTTCTGTTGTCTTCCCTGCTAGACATTTTATCCTCAGACTTAGAGACTGTCTTGCTCACTATTCTCAGTGCCTAGCCCGGTCCATTTAAGTATTGAAGAATAAATGAATGTAAAAAATATGTTGAAGCAGTAAAATACAAAATAGAAATGCCTAGGTAGAGAATTGATTTCATGGTTAGGCTTTTACTTGTTGTCACTTCTTTCGTTTGAAAATATTCTTTGTCAATCTTAAATATATATAAATGAGCCAGAGAGCAGTTCACAATCGAATTGTACATGGAACCTTCTTTAGATTTATATATATTTTTCCCGCTATTTAATTTGAAGTGATTTGTGAATTCTGGTTAATCTCAATACACTTTTTCCTTAGTTGGACTTCATAGTCTAACGTTTAGCCTAGCCAGTCAAAAGTGGAATTTGTCCTTCCAAGTGTGGAGTGCCACAGGTTAAACCTAGACTTCTGAATCCAAAGCCATTATGCTATACCGTCTCCCATAGTGGAATGAATAATGCATTTTGTATTAAGATATAAAACTTGAAAAAGCCTGGTCATTTGTTTCTTAAGTTAAAAAAAAAAACACTTACTATACTAAATGGAACTATCTTTTGCTGTTTAGGCAGATCCGCAGATCCCCAAAGAGCAGCTATAGTGTTCACAGAGTGTTCATGCCTCAAAGAGGATGATGGTGTTTAAAGGACAAAATGACGGGAAGTTTGAATTTTGCCAAGTCTTAGGTTATAGGCATTCCTTCTTCGGAGGAAGCAGTGGTCTTCCAAGCCCAGAGGGTTCCTTTATTTCTAGTTTGGTTGAGATTTCACACTAGAAGCTGCCTCACAGTTTAAATGAATCAATGAATGAATGAATTCCAAAACACTTTTGCAGCTGAGAGATCTTTGAATAAGAAAGTCTGGGTGTGGTGTAGTAAGAATTTTGTTATCCTAACCAAAGTGGTCTTCTGATTTCAGGCCAACGGTTTCAAATATCAGTTAATAATCACAGGAAACATTATTTCAGGTTGAATTCTCTCATCTCCAACCCTTTCCTGTAATGCATTGCAACCTGCTCCTACTGCCAACTTGGAACTACCCACTTCATCTGAGTATCTGTTGCTTAAGTTGCAGAAAGGGGGAGAAGCCGGGTTAAAGCTTACTCTCCCACTCACCATTTGGAACATAATGAGGTAGACATACAAAGTTAGAGTTACTATTTAAAAGCATTTTTCAGCCTGTTTGGCATATAAGTAGGTGCTATATAAACTACTGGGTTACTACCAGAAGAATAGAAACCAAGAATTAGATACCCTTTTTCCTTGTAAAAATTGAGAATTGTTTGGGGCTAAGCCCAGTTGAAAATTGACTTTCACCTTGATTCCTAGAGTGTATTTAGTAGGAAGAAGTGGAGTGTTTAAAAAAAATTTTTTTGCCTAATTCTACTACTGGAATTATCTTTCTCCCCCTTAAAAAAAAAAATACTAGTTTATTGTGCCTTATCCCCCTAATACAGTGAAATCAAGTTTTTCTTTAAATCCATTGTAGAATATAATTATTAGCATGTTAGGATTTACTTAGCTTAGATTGTTATAGTTTTGAACAGAATTACGTAGAATGAAGTTTAACCCGTTTGGGGTGATCGGTAAATATGTATCTTATTAGCTGAAAATCACTTTAATGAAACTAAAGGTTTACTCTTCAGATCTTTAATTCTCATACTCCTACCAGTGTCTTAATTTAGTTAGGAAAAATAAAACTTTGAACAGCTTTTTACCTGTTGTGAGGTATTACTTTAATTCTAGTCTTATAAATGACGTTTTGTTCTTTTGTTCTGTTTCCTCTGTCATGGACTCTGGTAGTGTCTATTATACTATCGGTTTCTGCTTAAGTCATATATTCCTCCAGAGTACCAAAAAGTTAATCTCTTATGTTCTTTGCATTCTAGTGTCATGACTACCTTGAAAATGAAAAGTTTGCCATTTTGTTAAATAATATAATAATAAAGCATAATAACAAATATAATATCATGAGCTATCATGCTTTCACATTCATTGAAACATGCAGTCTTTATCAGCATGTAAATTGATAGCACTGTGGGGGAGATGCCAATATTCAGATTATCATCCTTAAATAATAAGCTGAACACTAATTTCAAATTTTAAGTATTACTGTCCAAAGCATTCTGCTCTTAAACCACAAATTTACGAGTCTACAGCATTCAAAAATTGTATTATTGGCAATGACTGGGTATTAAAGTTTTATAACTTAGGCTATAGTATGCTCTTAAAAAATGCAGATTCTTTCAGTTTTGTAAATATTTTAGTCTTATTATGACTGTTTCTTTTCTTCCCAAGTCTCTTTTGGAAAAGTTCTTGATCCCCAATGCTTCACAAGCAGAGAGCAAAGTCTTCTACTTGAAAATGAAAGGAGACTACTACCGCTACTTGGCCGAGGTTGCTGCTGGTGACGACAAGAAAGGTATGCTGCCTCAGCCTGCGCTGGGCGCCTAGAAAATGACACGGCACGGAAGGAGTCCCTTCTGGAGTTAGAGAATTGTTCTGTTGTTTTTTAATTGTTCAGAGCACTAAATGAAGAGTAATAATGGACTTTGCGCTCTCTCTCTCTCTCTCTCTCTCTCTTTTCCTTCCCTCTCCTCCCCTCCTTCTTCCCTCGCCCCCCTTCTTCCCTCCCCCCGTCCTTCCTTCAACTAAACAGTTGACCCTTGAGGAACACAGATTTAAGCTGCACAGGTCCATTTACACAGAGATTTTTTCTGTAAATACTACAGTACTACATAATCCAAGGTTGGACATGAAGGGCCGCCTACAAAATTATACTCAGATTTTCGACTGCATGAAGAGTTGTCATCCCTAAACCCCTTGTTGTTCAAGGGTCAACTATATATCTACTGCTGAATAATTGGTATTCTGAAATGTATGCTTGTTAACAAGCCAATTTTATGTATAGGAATGTTTCCTCACAATTTTAATAGTGGTTATAGTATAACTGTAGAGCAGTACAAACTAATTATTAAAAATAATACTGAGATGGTTAGAGTTATTTTGTCTTGACATTGATCAATGGCTAGTGTAGTTTTCCAAACGAAGCTTTTCTTTTTTTTTTCTTTTAAATTGAGGAGCCTTAATCAGTTAAGGTTGCTACAGCTTAATATTTCAGAGTTTATAATTGGATAGTAAAGGTTTGGTTTGAGGGGTGAAGGTGAAGTGCAAACTTTTATCGATACATTTTGGTGCATTTTATTATCCAGGGATTGTGGATCAATCACAGCAGGCATACCAAGAAGCTTTTGAAATCAGCAAAAAGGAAATGCAGCCAACACATCCTATCAGATTGGGTCTGGCCCTTAACTTCTCTGTGTTCTATTATGAGATTCTGAACTCCCCTGAGAAAGCCTGCTCTCTTGCAAAAACGGTATGTATTTTTTACCTGTTATGTGGAAATTTAGTAATCATTATTATTGGAGCATTGAAATGTATTTTTTTTATCACAGGCATTTGATGAAGCCATTGCTGAACTTGATACATTAAGTGAAGAGTCATACAAAGACAGCACACTAATAATGCAGTTACTGAGAGACAACTTGACAGTAAGTACATACCAGCATCATGAGCGGTTAACATGGCGAAGAGATTATAGGCATACCTCTGTTTTATTGTGCTTCGCAGATACTACGAGTTTTACACATTGAAGGTTTGTTACAACCCTGTGTTGAGCAAGTCTATGGGTGCTGTTTTTCTCAAAAGCGTTTGCTCATTTTATGTCTCTTGAGTTCACATTTTGGTAATTTTCAGTGTTTCGAACCCTACACCAGCAAAAATTTCAACTGCTGAAGGCTCAGTTGATGATTAGCATTTTTTAGCAATAAAGTATTTTTTAACAAGGTATGTACATTGGTTTTTTTTAAAGACATAATGCTGTTGCATACTTAATAGACTACAGTATGGTGTAAACATAACTTATATGCACTGGAAACAAAAAATTCGTGTGACTCAGTTTATTTTTATATTCGCTTTTTTTATTCTTTTTTTTTTAATGTAAGATCCTATCTGCTTTTAAAACTCTGAAGAAAACCATCTTACAGAAACTGAAATATTAGACTAAGGACTAAAAATGTATCTTTTCATTAGTTACATATACCCATTGTTAAAATTCTGGTTTTTAAAATGACTTTGTAATTCATGGTTTTGAACTTTCAATTACATAAGCCGTTTTATTTTTCATTTCAATATAGTTGATTCTTTTCTTTCCATTTTAGTCACAGAAGAGTTTTGCTTTTAGTATCAAAAGCATACTTAAGTTCTCTTTTTTTTTTAATAATTTTTATTTATTTATTTGGTTGTTCTGGATCTTAGTTGCAGCAGGCGGGCTCCTTAGTTGTGGCTCTCAAACTCTTAGTTGTGGCATGCATGTGGGATCTAGTTCCTTGACTAGGGATCGAACCTGGGTGCCCTGCATTGGGAGCACGGAGTCTTAACCACTGCGTCACCAGGGAAGTCCCTTAAGTTCTCTTATTTATTTATTTATTTTTGGCTGCGTTGGGTCTTCGTTGCTGCGCGCGAGCTTTCTCTAGTTGCAGCAAGTCGGGCTACTCTTAGTTGCGGTGCGCAGGTTTCTCATTGCGGTGGCTTCTCTTGTTGCGGAGCATGGGCTCTAGGTACTCGGGTTTCAGTAGTTGCAGCACGTGGGCTCAGTAGTTGTGGCTCGCAGGCTCAGTAGTTGTGGTGCACAGGCTTAGTTGCTCCGAGGCATATGGGATGTTCCCGGACCAGGGATTGAACCCGTGTCCCCTCCATTGGCAGGAGGATTCTTAACCACTGCGCCACCAGGGAAGCCCTCTCTTCATATTTAAATTCCATTAAAAACAGTGACCATAAAGTTGCTTCTCTATTTTTGTAGCTATGGTAGGGCATTAATAACTTTAGTTACAAAATTTCAGATACTCTACAGAGTCCAAGTGGACATCTATTTTGCCTAGTCTCTTAGTAAAAAAAAAAAAAAAATGACTTACTGTGGCAGGTCATGATTGTCCTTGGTATACTGCAGACTAAAAAAAAAAACCACAATGCCAGTACCATACTGAAAAAATATATAGTTAATACCTTAATAATATTAAATTTCTAGCATTCAATTTCCAGTTGTCTTTTTGTGTTTCTTTGTATTGTCTTTTTTTTTTTTCTTCCAACAGTTTTTTATTTACATTGGGATCCAAATAGTCTATATATTGCAGTTGGTTGATATGTCTCTTTGGTCCCATAGGTTTTCACATTCTTCTCCTTCACATGAATATTAAATTTGAAGTTTTGAGGCTTGGGTGAAAAAAGTAGCAAGTATCTTCTGTGTGCCAGATAAAGAGCTAGGAATGAAGATTATAGTTTAGTGCTACTGGTTTTTATTAGCTTTGGGGCATTTGTTTTGGGGACTGTACATCATCATTGTATACATTTAACTTTTCTCAGCTTTATTTTATCTAGCCCATTGCCAATTTTCTGAACCAGTTATATTCTCAGCAGTTTTTTGAATGTCATTATGTACTTGTTTATTATTAAACACTGAAAATTATTTTAGAAAGTATAATTGGAGGCTCCCTACACACTCTGGAGATTATTTCAGTCAAGAGGATAAGGTATAGAGTTCCTTAAAGAATGAATCTTTTTATGTATATCAAATGAAAGAAGCACTTCAGTTTGTTAGCTAATTTTAATATTAAGAATTTTTCAAATTTTTCTGGTTTGAAATGATGAGATAGTTCTGAAAGGTAGAACTTGAGACCTAGTCACTACTGAGTTGTGTTATCAGTTTTTGAGAAGGTCTGATCTGAAATATATACTTCCAGCTGAATCTTGGTATCAGTATAGCATGAAGAGCGTATTACAACAGCTGAGTAAGAAGAAAACCAAGGTTCTGATTCTGATTCTGTCACTATTTACTATGTGCCTTCTCTGAGCTCTTGTCGTATTGCCTGTTATCATTATAGGTTGATTGGATCACTTATCTGTCAAGTAAAGAAATTTTGTCAAAACTATCTAGTATCTGAGTCTGGATCTGGTTGACCAGTATTGTTAACACATAACCCTAGGAAGAGAAATATAAATATCCTTCATCAAAGTTTTAATGTTTATATGGAAAAAACAGGATCCATGAAAGAACTGGAAAGAGATGATAAAAAAATAATTCCATCTTGTCTTACAAGACCACCAGTTTAATAGAAGCTTACAGACTTCTAGGTCATTCAGATAACTGTATGATGTTCAAAGAAGTCTCCTTTCCAGGCCAGTAACATATTTGGTTAATAAATAAATAAAACTAATGGGTGATTTGGGGGATAGAAAAATATTGAGCTTTCCCCCCCTTCATTCTGCAGTGTATAAGCAATATAAAATTTAAGGTATCTTGAAACAATCCTTTTATAATTTCCTCTAAAGATCATTATAGAGTGCTAAGACTTGTAAAAAAATATTTGAAACAGCTGAGATAATTTTGAAATCATCTTTTTAAACTGCTGAAAAACTGTAACAATCTAAAAATTAGTAGACACCATAGGCCTACTACTATGGGACAATTCAGTTTTTACCTCTTCGAAGATTTGGTTCTGACCATACTGTTTTGTGTTCATCTATTTAT